TAAATCAGAACGTTTCTTCAGCTGTTTATAAATCAGAACGTTTCTTCAGCTGTTTTTAAATCAGGTTAGGTCAGGTGAGGGGTTTCCCTACATAGATCAGAACCTTCGGCTGCTGTGAACTCTGTTTTTATATTTTTTAAAAGACTCAACTTGATTTACAAAGATTCTCTTCAGGTCTCTTTAAAATCTGCTTTAGCTGCTGGCCCTGGTTTTAGCTTCTTAAGCTACTTTTAGCTTCAAACTAGGTTTTGCTACTTATTTAACCTTGTACTTCTTTTCAGGGTTTAGCTACCAATTTTCTGCTTTTAGCCTTCAGCTACTTTTAACTACAGTTCTATAGCTTTTAGCTTGGCTTTTGCCACTTTCAGCTTTAGGTTAGCAGTTTTCTTCTAGCTTTTATCTAAATGTTTCATACTTTTTGGTACTGTTTTGTAACTTTAGCCCTTAGCTTTAATTTTAGCACTTTTATTTATACACTATCATTTTACTTCAAAGTATTTATTCTGCCTTTTCTTTTAGCTTTTAGCTACTTATGTTTAAGTTTGTGCTGCTTTGAGTTTTTAGCTCCTGTTCTACTTTTGTCCTTTAGCTACCATCCTGCTAGTTTTAACCTACTTTTAGCTAGTCTTTTGCCACTTTAAGCTATTATGTTTTTCCACTTTTATCTTTAAGCTTTTCATATTTTTTGCAAGTGTTTTGCTACTTTTAGCCTTTAGTTATTATAATTTTACCATTTCTATTTATAAGCTAGCATGTTGCTAATTTAAACATATTGAAGGAAATGTTGTAACTGATTAATTACTTTTTAGCTGAGCTTTATCTGCTGTTAGCTAGAGTTTTGCTGCTGCTAAGCTAGTGTTAGCTTTACTTGCTCAGTTTTAGCTGTTTTAACGGACTCTGCTGTGTTTCCAGAGAAAACGTTACTATCTTTAGTTCATTTCAAATCTTTCTGACAGCTGAGTATAAGGTGGAGAAGATCCAGGCTCCCAAGGTCTCCTGGCATCAAGACCCTCGTTTCCTGGACAGCAGCTCGGAGGAGGAGGAGGAGGA